AATTTACTTTAAGAAATCAGCTAGTGTCTAAGTGATATTTTGGTTTTGAACCCAAAATGCGTATTAAAATGTGGTTTACAGATACATAACTATATCCAAAATAGACCAAAAAAAAAAAAAAAAACCTTTTTGCCTCTTGCTTTGGATTCTTACATCTTCTCTTTAAGTAGCTAAGTTTCAGTAGCTTTTAGTAGCCCAGTGTTTCAGGTTCCCATATCTTGTGTTAAGTAGTTAGATTTATATTCATGTTTGTAACAAGGAAGGTTTTGAGATGCTGTTTGAAAGTAGTCCGTAATTCCTAATAAAAAACCAAATTAGATTGTTATTGTATTTTTGTTTTTTAATGTTTGCTTCTCAAATACTAAATTTATTTTAACATAAGCTATTAGAGAGGTTTTTTTGTTTTGTTTTGTTTTTTTGAGATAGAGTCTTGCTCTGTCTCCAGGTGCCAGGCTAGAGTGCAGTGGTGAGATCTCGGCTCACTGCAGTCTCCACCTCCTGGGTTCAAGCAATTGTTCTGCCTCAACCTTTCGAGTAGCTGGGACTACAGGCACGTGCCACCACGCCCAGCTAATTTTTATATTTTTTAGTAGAGACAGGGTATCACCATGTTGGTCAGGATGGTCTCAATCTGTTGACCTGTGATCCCCCCGCCTCGGCCTCTCAAAGTGCTGGGATTACAGGAATCAGCCACCATACCTGACCTATTAGAGACCATTGTTTTGGCTATACAAATGCAGTTTTGGGTCTTTTGAAGAACAAGATACAGAATTTGCAAAAGTATGCAAAGATTTTAAAACCTAAATTGTGTGTTTATAAGCCACTGATAAAAGTTATGATGAAGAATTTAAAACTTAAAGTAGTCAAAACTATCACAATTGCCTTTTCTAAGTAATACTATAGTTGAGTTGTGAATGTATTTATCTGCTCTGCACTAATGGAAACCACCTTTGCCATACTGTTTTTGATTTTTTTAGAAAAAATCATTATTGCCTCTAATAATTTAAACTTATATCATTCTTCAGACACCAGAGTTGATGGATGTTTATTCTGAATTATATGGATGAAGATTTGAATTCTGACTTTGCCAGTTACTAGATGTGTGGCCTTAGATGAATCATTAAACCTTTCTAAACTTCATTTTGCTATACCATAAAATGTCAGCAATATTACAGCACTCTCTCATGGAGTTAATTATGACTATGAAATAATGTTTTCACTAATCATATGTTCACTTGTGTGCTTTTCCACTGAATTACAAATTTCTTGAATCCATTACTTCTACTTTTTTTTTTTTGAGATAGTCATGTTCTTTTGCCCAGGCTGGTAGGCAGCAGTTTGATCTTGACTCATTGCAACCACTGCCTACTGGGTTCAAATTATTCTTGTGCCTCAGCCTCCCAAACAGCTGGGATTACAGACATGTGCCACTATGCCCAGCTAAGTTTTGTATTTTCAGTAGAAAAGAGGTTTTGCCATGTTGGTCAGGCTAGCCTTAAGCAATCCAAACACATCCACTTCCCAAAGCACTGGGATTACAGGTGTAAGTCACTATGCTTGGCCTTGGGTTCATTCCTTTTAAATTTTGTATCCCAGAGTCTGATTTTTAGTTGTGAATCATTGTTTAATTGAATTAAATATCCAGCCAAAAGGATAATGAAATACATTCAGCAGAGGAATGACAACAACAAAAAAAACTAAAATGGAAAAGAGGAAATAAAAAAGCTTGTTGGGGTCCTGCTCCTCTGTGGTTGGTCTCCTGCTGTGTCATACAGGCCAGCAGGGCCCAGAACAGCGAGAACATTAGTCAGTCTTTCTCTAATGGACTGAAGATTGAAAAATCCAACTTTTGTGATAAATTAAATTGAACTGCTTGGTGTGTGTTAATTAGTCTGTGCCACACGTGCCACACTTTCAGGTAGTAGGTGATGTCCACAGTGGTGTGTAGTGCAAGGTTACATTATATGGGAATCATATTTTTAGTATTCACTACAATCCAGAGGGTTTTTTTTTTTTTTTTTTAATTTTTTTTAATTTTGGAGTCCCAAGCATAACATCACACTTGATTTCCTTACTGTGTAACACTTAAAAGTTTGGTGTAGATTCCCTGAGTATACTGTTGGAAATCATAAGTTGACTTTATTGGTAAGTAAGGATTCTTTTTTTTTTTTTTTTTTTTTAAATACATAAACATGAAACAGGCTGCCTTAAGTGATTTAAGAAGATACTTAAGTATATATCTTACTAGACTGGGTGCAATGGCTCATGCCTGTAGTCCTAACACTTTGGGAGGCAGAGGCAGGTGGATCACCTTAGGTCAGGAGACCAGCCTGACCAATGTGGAGAAATCCCATCTCTCCTAAAAATTCAAAATTAGCCAGGTGTTGTGGTGCATGCCTGTGATCCTAGCTACTCAGGAGACTGAGGCAGGAGAATCAGTTGAACCTGGGAGGCAGAGGTTGTGGTGAGCCAAGATCGTGCCATTGCACCCCAGCCTGGACAACAAGAGAGAAACTTCATCTTAAAAAAAAGAAAAAAAAAAAGTGTATGTCTTACTTTATTTGCCAGCAGTAGACCCAGACTTACTACTTCCATGATCTCATGTATATAAGCTTGTGTGTATGTGCCTGTGTGTGTATGTATGTGTCTAGTGTTTCATTTAAACAGATTAATATCAGCATTTACAACTATCAATTTTTATTTGTTTTTTATTGACTGATTGATTGATTGATTGAGACAGTTTCACTCTGTCGTCCAGACTGGAATATAGTGGTGCAATTTTGGCTCACTGCGACCTCTGCCTCCTAGGTTCAACATCTGCCTCAACCTCGTGAGTAGCTGGAATTCCAAGAGCATACCACCATGCCCAACTCATTTTTTGTATTTTTAGTAGAGACAGGTGTTTCATTATGTTGGCCAAGCTGGTTTCAAACTCCAGGTGATCTGCTTGCCTTGGCCCCTGCAAAGTGCTGGGATTACAGGCATGAGCTACCACATCCAGTCAGAATTTACCTTTCTGACAACCATATTTTGATTTTTGAAAACTTAATGATTCTGGAAACAGATACAACAATTTTATTCAGAAGTACTGAATGTTAGGTATTGCTCATAAAATATATTAGGACTAGTGTGTACTGAACTTACTAGTAGGACATTATTTCTAAGATCTTCAAGAAGTAAGCTGGGTGCAGTGGCTGTGTAATCCCAGCATTTTGTGAGGCTGAGGTTGGAGGATTGCTTGACCCCAGGAGTTGGAGGGAAAAAGAGTCAGGGAAAAATAGACCTTGTCTACACAAAAAAATAAAAAATTAGCACACGCCTGTCATCCCAGCTACGCAGTGAGGCTGAGGCAGGAGGATCGCTTGAACTCTGGAGGTCACAGGTGCAGTGAACTGTAATTGCACCACAATACTCTAGCCTGAGTGACAGAACAAGAAATGACCCCATTTCAAAAAATAAAACAGAATACTTATAATATTGTATGCTTTTACTTTTTGAGAAACAAAGATGACATATGTCCTTTCATTAGTTTTGTTAAGTTTTAAAGTATTTGCTGTTCTTGTACATGATGTATTTTCTGTCTTTTCAGTGGATGATGCTGGCAAAATAGAACATGATGGTTCCTCCGGAGTGACCATTGATGCAGAATCAGAAATGGATCCTTGTAAAGTGGATGGCACTTGCCCTGAAGTCATCAAGGTATACATTTTTAAAGCTGACCCTGGAGAAGATGACTTAGGTAAGAAGAAATGTTTAAACATTATATAGTCTCATCCAAATGCTTCAACCTGATTACTTTTGGGTTATTTAGATTGAGAACATTTGGAGTCTCTTCTGAAGTAACTTTTATATAAGAATTTCAATGTAGTAATAGCAAAGTTTGTAAAAAGTAATAAGGAAAGCATGTAGAAAGAAACAGGTGGAAATGAAGTTTTCAAGTAAATTATTGAAGCTGCCTTCTTCCCTGATAGGTGGAACTGTAGACATTGTGGAGAGTGAGCCTGAGAATGATCATGGAGTTGAACTGCTTGATCAGAACAGCAGTATTCGTGTTCCCAGGGAAAAGATGGTTTATATGACTGTCAA